AAGCTGAAATGGCCAGTCCACAGTTGGGCTTAGCTTAGCATATGCCTGATACAGGAAAATGGTTGGATACATGCTTTGGTAGCACTTAGGTTTCAATCATTCAGATAACAGACATCCAAGAACATATTTTATCTAGAGTATTGATTAGAAGAATTAATTTCTGCTCCTTTCGCTTTAGTAACTTTTATATTTATCAAAATAAGAGGTGCAGATAGTCATTTTCAGAGGCTTCACAATTTAGAATGTCACAAGTAAGTGAGCAAGTTTACTCCCTGGTCAAGTCCTTTTGGCTGCTGGGCATAGGACTCAATATAATAATAACATTGGATTGTTTGCTTCCAACTCTTCTTTGGCAATGTGATATGGGACTTATTATTTCAAAAATAGGTCAATGATTTTATGAATTCAAAAATGGCTCCCTAGGAAGATTCCAGTTAAAAATATAATGGCTTTGGCCTAATTTTAGTTCTGAAATAAAGGATTTGGACACCAACTCCGGGCCCCACACTGTCCTGAAAAACAGACACTTATTAGAGGCTCCAGATGTTAGGAATTCCACTTGTGGAAGGAGAAGGAGAAACTACTTGAGTCAGGAGAATGATCGCCTTGCCCTGTCAGGATCATGTCTGTACAAATCTAGAATAATGTCCCCTTCCACAAAGTTCCATAGAAACACTAATATGTATTGATTCTGAAAAATGCTCTTAGGGACTTAACATAGGACCCTCATGAGGATGGTGTCTATGGGGTACTAGCTTGTTAGTTTGGCTTGACCATGAGCCAAGATCTTGGGACAATATTGGGCATAGTTTGTCTCCGGAAATCCGTACCTAAAGAAGCCACCTTCAGTCTCTCACCATTTCAGGGCAATGAAAATATTATGTGAACTTATAACAATTTCTGAGGTAAGTAAAAGTCCTTTGGGGAGACTAAGGGTCTTATGAATTATGGAAGTTTAAAGAGAAAACTAACAAAAGCCACCAATACTCATTATTCAAAACACCAAGTTCCTACACAAATCATATAAGGAGGCATTCAAAATCTTCTGAGATGAAAGTGAAATCTGCCTTTCTTGTGTTCTCTGATGGGGATAGTGAAGCCCTCCGCACAGAGGATATATGGGCTCAAAGGAAAATGTATTCAGAAGTGTGGCCACGCAGGAAGAAGCACATGGATTCATGGCAATTGGCAGGTGTCTCTCCCACCTGTCTCCGACTGCCAGACTGGAATGGTGCCTTTCCTTTGTTCCATTTTCAGGAAGGTGTCAGTGAGTTTATATCAAGACATCTTGGGGGGCCGTTTTCAAGTTATGCATGCGCAGGTCCTGTAAGTCATTGTTCCACTGTGGCAATGGAGAAGGACAGCGATGTCACACTCTGAGTACTCCCTATGTGTCTGCAGCAAATCTCTAAGCATGATCTCACCCTTCTAATGGCAGTTCTGGGCTCTGTTTCTTGGAATAAAAGATTCCGTTCTTAAATAAATAAAAATGACTCGCTCCTTCTCCTCCTTGTGGCTTATTAAAGGATCAGAGAAATCTGACAGGGAAGTATTTAAAACATGTAGCCTGTTATTTTCTGATCTCATTTATCTTTACAGTGTTCTCCTTTCTTGTAACTCTCATCCATATATTTGTTCAGTACATTGGGGGAAACTCTGTGGGATGGCATTAGCTAATAGTAAATTCTGTGCATATCCAAGAAAATTTATGCATTAAAGATAGGGAGAAACGGAGCAGAGAGCAGCTAAGGCTCCCCCTGTCCAGAGAGTGGGCTGGGATTTAATCCTTTAATCCCACTGCTTTATTCTTCTAGCAACCTGCTACTTATGTCTGGAAGGAATCTGTAAATGATAAATAAGTGCTTTTCTGTCTGCAGCCCTGCGTAAATGCAAGGTAACAGCCAAGGGCCAGGAAGGTGAGCTACCGTGGACTTTAAGGACAAATGAAGGTTTGAATCCTGGTTCCAACTCTACTGCTATGGGTGAAAGACGTGACTTATCTATGCCCTGGTTTCCTTATTGGTAAAATGAGGACAATGATGGTGTCCATCCATTAGGCTGTTGTGAGGATGAGTTAATCATGCGAAGTTCTAACTGTGGACTCAAGCTTATTATTGCTGTTAGTGGATCCCAAATGCTCTTGAGCAAAGGGAAATCAGGACAAGGACAAAGGGCTCTGGCAGCCAAGTCAATAAATCGCCTTCCTTTCGCATATGAATTTACCTTTTTAAGAAATGCCAAGTACCCAATGAGAATTCAAGAGTGGGAATTAGAAATGTTTATTGAATGGAATGGTTTGAGGTGCTGGAGTATGAAGGACTCTTTCACACAGCCACACTTCAGTGAAATTTCAAAGTATCTGCTTGATATCCTAGAAACGGTCAGGAGCTGAGGCCAAAGGAAGAAGAGATGTCAATGGCTGAAGTTCAACAGCTTTGAAATAAGAGAGGAAGAAACAAGATTTCAAAGTGGAAGAAGATGCTGAAGTCAGAAAAGTTAAAGCAGAGCTGTTTACTCAAACAGAAGTTTATTATTTCCAGATATAACTTAAAAAAGGAGGAATAGAATCAAAGACCAAGTCTAAGACACCCTTGCCTGTGTCCAGACTAAGGTGTCAGACTCACCTGTGCACACGGCGTGAGTGTGTGTGATGTGTAATTCTTACCGTAAGCTTTGGCTAGAAAGGTTTCTGATCAAGGAGGTAGGTCACAGGTCCTCACATTCAGATCTAGATTGTTCCTGCCTATCCTGAAGGACTTTGTGACTGCACACTAGACTGCCATCTCCTCTTTGTAAACCTTAATGTGATTCAGTGAATGGGGGAGGGAGAAGCCAAGGAAAGTGAAACTCAAGAGGCCAAGCCAGACCAATGGGGTTCAGAGAGCAAGAGGCCAAGAGCTGTGGTCCTTGCAGCAAGCGTGGTGAAGGTGGGGTCCAGTTCTGATGACCACCAAGACCACCTGTTGTGTGTGCAGTGCTCACCAAGCCCTTATTTTACTCCTTGCTTTCCTTATTCCAGTTCATGCTCACAACAAAGCTAAGGGACAACTGTTGTCAGTTCTGGCCGCAAGTGGAGAGGAAACCAGACTTAGGGCGACTGTCAATGACATAGGGAGCATTTTTGAGAACTGCTTATCAGGTCCTGTGGAGGAAGCAAGCTGAGGCAGAACACTCTGATTCATCTTGAGAAATAGTGTGTATCATAGAACTGCAGCTTGTGAGACCCTCAGAGGAATGGGACATTTGCTTTCTTCGTGCCTAATCCCCTGACTTATTTAATTTCTTCTTAGCCAAAAGCTGGCAAAATAAAAAGTGACATAATTCTCTTTTTCCATCATTAGAGAAAGGTGCCAGTTTGGAGATCAAATCCCATAAGGAGAATTTTAATAGAAAACCGGAATATCATACCCAATTAGTCCACAAACTGTTTATTAAAATCATTGATAATAGTAGTAACTATTTAGCAGTCTCTTTCAGTGTGATGTTCATGCCAAGTAACCCAGGTCTATACCATTTAGTATTTAGAGCTACTCTAGAGAAAAGGTATCATTTTTGCCTATTTTTTCCTGGTAAAGGAACTAAGATGTGAGAGGGTGATTACTTGTGTAAAACAGCTTATATATGACAGAACTTAATAGCTACGTCCAGTTCTGTCAAAACCTAGAGTCGAATTTGGTCACCCCCAAACTATCTGCCTTTCTTCTACCCTCCAGTATCGCTGATGTTAAGTGCAAAGAAATAACAAAAGTGTCAGTGAGGGCTCTTTGACCTAGGAGATTAGCAGTGTCAATAAAGTACACAAAAGGGAAAACTGGGGACTGGGAGATAACTTAGTTGGTTAAGCACTTGCTGTGTAAGCATGAGGACTTGAGTTTGAGCCTCAGAACTCACTTAAAAAAAAGAAGCTGAGCATGATATGTGCTTGCAATCCGAGCAGGGGAGAGGTAGAATCACATGGTTTCCTGGAGCTTGCTGGCCAGCTTGCATAGCCTACTCAGCTCTAGACCCATGAGAGACCCTGTTTCAATAAACAGGTGGATGGCTTTTGAGGACAGACCTGATGTTATACACAGATGTCTGTACACACACACACACACACACACACACACACACACACACTAGCACATGAAGAAAATAACTACTATTATCTTGCTGTGGTTGAGAAGGAACCAAAAGAATATTGAGGATTCATGCTCAGATCTGAGCTGGGCAGAATGAGCAGGCTGAGCCCAGAGGAGAGAGTTGGCTGCCTTCATAGCTGAACAGCTGTAGGACTTAGTTTTGAATACAAGGTCAGTTGTCCAAGTGGATGAGCTCAGTTATCACTTATGAACTCAGGCCTTCATCAAGTTACAGACTTTTTTGGCCTCAGTGTCCTCATGAGCATGATAGCTACCTAGAGGGCTGCTGGGAAAAATCAGCTTCTAAAGAGGCACCTGCTATGGTGTGGGATTGTTTTGTAACTTACGCCTTCATCTGGTGCCCAATGTGGGGAAAATGGTGTGGGACAATTGTATTCTGTTAATTGTATGTTTTAAATAAACGCTGATTGGCCAGTATCCAGGCAGGAAGAATAGGTGGGACAATGTGACAGAAAAAAGAGGCGGGACAATGAGAACAGGAGTATTCTGGAAAGAAGAAAGCTTCCTCTGCAGTCCTGTCCAGACACCAAAGAAGCAGGATGTGACCTGCCCCACTGAAAAAGATATTGAGCCATGTGGCTAACATAGATAAGAATAGTGGGTTAATATAAGTTATAAGAGCTAATAAGAAGCTTGAGCTAATGGGCCACACAGATGTAGATCTCTGTGTGATTTTCTTTGGGGACTAACCGACTATACAAACCAAACAAAACAAGAACCCCAACAAGTAGCTGGGTTCTCCTGTTACATTGCTACCTTCATCTCTCTTCCTTGTAGTGTTAAGTTCAGCTTTCTAGGAGATGAGCTGGCTTCTTGCCTCTGACCTCACTATGTAAGATCATCTAGAAAGCACCTTACCTGCTGTGAGAAGCCCTTCACAACACGCCTCTGTTTGAGGTTGGTCTCTCCATCCAAGTTGGCAGTTTCCAGGTGACAGACCCCACTGGGGTCCGAGGAGAAGAGGAGAAGGATGTCTGCCGGGACGATCTCATTACACCGCATCTGAACAAAGTCTCCCACACGCACATCCTGCCAGCGCTTTGGCATGTAGCTCTGCTCTTTTCTAAGGTGGGTGCAAAGAAGACAGGGGTCTCAGTGAGCTTTAAGATTCCTCGGAGTGTTGGTTTATTAAAGATGTCAACTTGCCACAATCTAAAATGACCAGGGAAGAGTCTCCACTGAGGAAATAGATAGATTAGGTTGGCTTGTGTGTATGTCTATAGGAAATTGTCTTGATTATTGGTTGAGCCAGCCCACTGTGGGTGACATCCTTCACTGGATAGGGGTCTTGAGCGGTATATGAGTAGAATAGAGGGGGCTTATTGAGTACCGATTAAAGAATGAGTAAGCCAGAATCTACACATTTTTCTCTCTCCATTTGATTGTGGATGTGATACTTTAAGTTCTTGCTTTGACATCCTTTGCAATAATGCCTGTATCCTGGAATTATAGGTCAAATACATTTCTCCCTCCCCTAAGTTACTTTTGGTCATAGTTTATAAAATCCCATTAGTAAAAGGTCTGTCCCTGTGACTACTTAGAATTTTAAACAATAACCAACTGTTGACCAGGTGTTGTGCTGAGCCCTTCCTTCCTGGCCGAAAGAATACTTTGAGGTGAAGTTAACTGGGCCATTATATTACATGGCTAGTTATCACAGAAGAAAGCAAAGGTACAAAGACCAGAGATAGAGAGAAAGCTGTTCTCGATTATGGGGAGAAGAGAGGCAGTAAAACTGAGGATATTGGTCATTAAGAATGCATAGGACAACATTGATAAAATGGAAAAAAACCCTAGACACATTGATAACATTAGTAAGACGATACCAGGGACTTTGATGGCCTGGGACCCACAATAACTGGAAAAGCCGAGGACTGAGGAACTTGGAGGAAATGATAAACTTTCCCCCTTATAATTATCAAACTTAGATAACAGCAGTAGCAACAAAACTTGACAATTTCATGTTTACATTGTACTGAGTACTAATGTCAATATTTTATTCACTTACATGATGATTTATTGGTGTAGACATTATATGAATTTCACAAATAAATTAAAGATTAGAAATTTTTTCAAGTCTTATAAAACCCAAGCTGAAACCCAAGCTTATACACAGATTGATGTCAAAGATTACAGCTTCCACAGCTAGTTCCTCCCAGCTGTTATTAGAGCCTCAACTGTCCCATTCCCTCCTTCCCAATAGGACATCCCATTTACACAGAGCTCTGATACCAGAAAGTCTTCATTCCACCCAGTCAAGTATTTAACAAATTCTTCTCTTCTAAGTAATCCAGATGCTCATGTTTTCTACCTTTAAAAACTCTTTGAAAGTATTCCCCCCACCCCAGGATCCTATAAAGTCTTTGGGCCATGCTGAGCCACTTTTAATGCCCCAGATGCCCTCAGTTATTTCTTGGATTATACAGTTTCAAGACCTATCCTAAAGGCACAGGCTCTTCTATAACTGTATTTCTAATCGTCTTCTTTCAACATGGGATTTGAAACATATGGCCTTTTTATCAGAGCCCTGCCGGTTTGAAGCTGGCTTCTTTAAGTGTACCTAGACCTGGGGAGACAGCTTACATCTGTGCTGTATCCACACAGATGTTGAGCCCTTCTGAGCATGTTGCTGTTTCTCATGGAATCTGGAGCTACCTGGGCATGGCAAGACCACATCTAAGAGATGTGAATGAAAGTGCTTGAAGAGGACAAAGGGAGTGATGCCTGCTCTTCTTGGGGTTTTCTGGAGAGTTTCAGCAAAGACCTCCTAAAAGTCTATCATCTTTGTCATACATGGTTCCTATAGAAGACTCTCCCAGCTTGAAATGAAGATCCTTTTGTTTGCGAGGCGGGAAGAAGGCCTCATCAGTACATAAGGTCATCAGGGACATCAGGATTGGTGAGTGGCCTTGCATCTCGAAGCTTCCACAGGGTCTGTGGAAATGCTCCATGACCCTAGGAACCTGGTACAGTGACCCTTATCTATGCCATGGCAATAATGTCCACATGGCTACTGAATGTGGGCAGTCTCTCTGTAGTCGTTTATTAATATCTCCTTCTTCTGTGATAAAGTGGGTATCAGATTTCCACAAAACTTTTGATTATCAACATCTAAGCACCCACTGTACCCCATATCTCTTCTTAGAAATGAAGATGGTAGGGACAATCCTACCATCTTTAGTTTATTATACCATTTCACAGATGTATTTTAAAATGTGTTCATTTGTCTATTTAGGGTAGATAGTCATCTACCAAGATAGCTAGGGCAACTCAGCCCTGGGATTGCCTGTCAAGTGCTCAGGTACAAGGCTCTTTAAAAGACTAAAGGATGGATTAAGTAGACTTTCACAGAATGAAGGAGAGGTTTATTTTATACTTCTGTTTTTTTTTCATTTGTAGAGAAATCAAACAAATGATTTTTAAATATTATAACAAACTTGCCTGAAGGAACCAAGGATTGTCCCCCTGTTTGTTTGCATCTCCCGTTCCTTCCTCCTGGTCTTTGGGACTGTAGGGTATCAGCTGATTGCCACAACCTCAACATTTATTCCACCTGGTGTGGGAGATCAGGTTTGGGGATAACACCCTTGAATCTGAGCATCACCTGGATTGTCATCATTTTCAGAGCTCCTTCATCCTGAAGGTTGTGACAAATAGGCCAGTTGGGGTTGCTGCATTCAGAGCAAAGCCATGTCAAAGCGTCTCTACCAGTGGAAACAAATCTGCTCTTTCCTCCTTTCATTGCCTGATGAAGGTTAATATTCTACTGAGAACTCAAGATCAATGGCAATGGGTTTTTGATCCTACTGCATGTACTGGCTTTGTGGGAGCCTAGGCAGTTTGGATGCTCACCTTACTAGACCTGGATGGAAGTGGGTGGTCCTTGGACTTCCCACAGGGCAGGGAACCCTGATTGCTCTTTGGGCTGAAGAGCGAGGGGGACTTGATTGGTGGAGGGGGAGGGAAATGGGAGGCGGTGGCGGGGAAGAGACAGAAATCTTTAGTAAATAAATAAATTAAAAAATCTGCTCTTTCCAATAAAGGTCTACACTGCTAAATATGGGATATAGGGCAGGATGACGAAAGATGGAAGGCCTGGGAGGTTAATGTTGGGTGTAAATTTAGGAATATATGTATGGACTGGAATGGTACTTTGTCAATTTTCATTATGACACAGGCATCATCAAACTTATGCTCTGCCTCTTTATGGTACTCCTGGGATCCCAATGAAGCCAGATAGGAAAGAGACATTCATGGTTCTTCCTGGGGGTTTGCCTCTTTACCTCCATAAAGCAGCCTTCCCACTACTCTGCCAACCCCATCTTTCTCCTTCATGCTGTTTATGGGGCTTGGGGTTAGGCAACAAAGACCTGAAAACAAAAACCCCAACCCCCACCCCAACCTTTCCCCAAGTCTAGAAAAGAGGAATCTCAGCAAATTGATGCTCAGGCATTGAAGGTTTCTAGATCAAGTTCCCAGAAACATTGTACTTCTCCAACAGGCCCATGCTACCTCCAGGAGTCCCTGGGGGGGGGGGGGTGACTGGAGTACTGGTGCTATTAGTGTTCTTTAAAAAAGTACTTTGGGGGATGTAGTTTAGCGTGGGTACATGGGACATTCCTTTCTGGGTTGAGAAATTTTATTTGTAGCAGTATTTTATTTTATAATGCTATGTTAAAGTAACCTAACCCAGCTATATTATAAGATGACAGACACATTTTACTGAACCTTTAGGGACACTTCCATTTCACACTTGGCTACTTTGCTCTGGCTGTTCCGTGCTCTGGGGTACACTTCGTCACTTCATCTGTCAACAGCATGTCTGAGGAGCAGCCAACGATGCCTCGCCCAAGGGTGTTCAGCCAAGGGAGGTGAGAAGTAGGAGAATTTAGCTGAAGCATAAAAGTGGCATGCTTATACATGGAGTGACACTCAGGTGTGACCAGCTGCTGGCCAGGAGCCACCAGTTAGAGTCATTCCCTCATTCATATGGCCCCCTTGGAGCAGCTGTTCCAGGGGGATGGGTGCATAGACTCTTGCCTGTCCCTTCGCTCCGAGAGTTGGCACCTGGGAGATCACGGCTATTTTAGTTTCCTGCAACGTTCACTAATGCTTAAAAATAAGATTCATGGCTTAGGACAAAGACTACATCTGGCACATTCTACCTTGAGGAGAAATTAAGTGGTGAGGTGCTAAACAGCTTTCTGGGAGAGGATGGCCTTTTTTAAAAAAATTTTTTTTTAAAAGTAAATAAACAGCAAGAGAGGTTTTTAATCAAGTGTATGGCGTGTGGAAGTGGGAGAGGAGGAGAGATGAGAGGAGAATGTTTAAGACTCCATTTCTCCTGTAACTAGGTTCTACATAAAGAAGTGTGGGGGCTGGAGAAGACAAGACTTGTCAGGAGGATAAGCTATCTTATGGGACTTATGGTTAACAGATGATAAATTGACCTGCGATGTTCTTCAGCAAACTTAAATACCAAGTCCAGAATGCCCCAGGTGGGTAGGGACCACTGAGAATAATCAGGTGAGTCCATGAATTAAAAATGTGTTTGGGACAGTTTGGTAGTTGCACAAAAACAGACACAAGAGCAGTGGAACCAAACTGAAGATTCTGACATCATCCACACACCTATGAACACCTGCTTTTTGACAAAGAAGCCAAAATGGTATAGTGGAAAAAAAAAAAAAAGAAAGCATCTTCCACAAATGGTGGCTGCATAACTGGATGTTAACATGGAAAAGATTGTAAATAGATCCATGTCTATCACCCTGCACAAAACTCAAGTCCAAGTAGATCAAAGACCTCAGCATAAATTCATTTACACTGAACCTGATAGAAGAGAAAATGGGAAGTAGCCTTGAATGCATTAGCACAGGAGGCCTAAATATAACACCGGCAGCATAGACACTGAGAGCAACAATCAATAAATGGCACCTCCTGAAACAACAAATTTTCTGTAAGACAAAGGACACAGTAAATAAAAAGAAAAACAGCCTACAGAATAGGAAAAAGATCTTAACAAACCCCTCATCTGACAGAGGACTAATCTCCAAAATATAT